CCTTGCCTCCCAGTAACCCAGAGGTCTTGGCTTCAGAAAGGGAAAACCCTCCCATTACTAATGATGACTTCATCACAATGCTAAGGACTCAGACAATTCTTGTGTCTCTCTGGTCCTCCTCTTATATCAGCTGGGAAAGAGGCAGTGGGGATGTGCTAGAAGAACATATCACGCCACCCTTCAGGAAGCCCTGTGGTGACATTTCTGGCCTCAACTTTCTACAGCAGTGGTTCTGAATCTTGACCACACATTTGAATTGCCTTCGGGGTGTTTATAAATCTTGATACCTGGGGATCCCTTGGCCAATTAAATCACTTTTGGATGAAGAGCATGCTATTTTTTATATGCTTCCTTTTGGGGACCATCTTAGCCTCCCTTTATTCTCTCAGGCACCTGTTTCTACCAATTCAGAAGGAGAATTCAGATTTGCAATCAAATGCCACCATTTTTTTTACAGCTTAACCTTTGGCAGGTAACTTAGACTTTCTGTGCCTGAATTTCTTCATCTCTAAAATGAGCATATTTTTCAAACTACTTCTTAGGTTATGGGGGTCATTTGAAGAAAAAACACCTTCAAAGAAAATACTGCAAAGAATACTTTTCTGAAAAGAGCTTGATAAATGCAAGCTACATATGTGCCATGTCCCAACAATGGTAAAGTTCATGCAGAGTCATTATCTTAGCTACTGTCTTTCAACAAACCGTGATCTGTCTTAAAACACACAATTCCAAAACAAAGATTTAAAATAACATATGCTTAACAGATTTACCTAGTGCGTACTGACTTCTATAAGCATACCTGTTTTTAGAATTTCTAGAAAGTGCTCAAAAACTCAATAAAAAACGAAGTGATCCATCATATCTCCTAATAAAGATGTTACTAGCTTTCCATATGTAGTAAGGAGCATTTATCCTCAAATACACATATTCAAACACATTAAAATATTTCTTTTTTTCCCTTTAGAAATAACTATGTTTCTGGAATTATTTTATTTGAAACATTTTAGAGACCTCACTGATGGTACTAATGGATAAGACTATGTTATTTGATTGTGCTTGACTAACACATCTTTATTTAAAGTTTTAAAGAGAGGACATACAGAATCATTAAATCCACTTCATAGAATACATGATTGTAATTTGTCGTGTCAATTTTAATAAAAGTTACTTGAAACTTTGAATTGAAATTCAGAGGCACCTGGGTGGCTCAGTAGGTTAAGTGACCAACTCTTGATTTCAGCTCAGCTCATGATCCCAGGGTTGTGAGATCGAGCCCTGAATCAGGCTCCACACTGGGCACAGAGCCTGCTTAAGATTCTCTCTCTTTCTTCCTCTGCCCCTTCCCCCACCCCTCTTCCTCTCTCCCTTTTGAAAGAACTAAAGAAAGAAAGAAAGAAAGAAAGAAAGAAAGAAAGAAAGAAAGAAAGAAAGAAAAGAATTTCAATAAGAGAATAATAAATACCATAGCGGTCTACATGTTTTGAAGAAAGCTTAAAGTTCTAAACATTCAAACATATAAAGGATACAGTGTGAACATTTCTTTGTTCATTATTTTCAAAATGTGAGTTATTACTGAATTGTTCATAAGATTTGTTTGTAAAACAAAAATTCCTTCCCACTTCTTTATATGAAGATTTTCCAAAGTGATCTGTCCAGAGGCATAGCCATGTAAGCACATGTTCAAAAAAGGATTTTTATAAAGTAAAAGTGCTAACATAGTTTTTCTAAGAATATTTGCACACATACAGTTGTAAATATGCTTCAATAACTTTGTTTCTATGAATGATCTCCTGGAAATATACTTTACAGAATATTGTCTTATGACTCTGTATTAGAAATGTCTGCTTTCTATCACATGTATTTAGAACATAAATTAAAAGATATATAAGCATTCAAAAACCAAGCAATGGTTACCGATTATTTGGATCTTTTAAAAATTCAATTTATTCTTGAAAACAAAACCGAATTTTATGGCCTTGAGCTTCAATGTCAATGAAAAGTTTGATTATTAATATTTCTGTTAGTGGTCTTTAAAAGTTGGAGTTTGCCTACAGTTCAATCAGCCAGCCAAATACTAAAAATGTTTGAGCATCTCTCAAAAGTGACTAAATGTGTCATTGGAAGGATATTTACTGGGAATTATAAAGCTACTCAATTTCTAATCATTGTTAATAATATTAGACTAGGGTTTTTTCCCCTATTTCAGCTTGTTCAATTTTCATTCTATACAGAATCACGAAAAACCTGAACACTAGATATTTTATAATAAGCCAAAAATTTGTTGTTACCTACAGAACTGCTTTGTAGCATTCCCCTTTTAAGGGGGCATTATGCTAGCACTGTCTGAAATTTCCTTTTCTTTGTTAATATATATTTTCTTTAATTCCCAAGTTCATCCTCTGCATGTTCTTCAAAACTGTGAGCACTGTGTTTGCTAGCAGCCATCCCCCCCAGCCTGTCTGCCCTGTCCCTCTCCATCCTCCTTCTTGGACGTAACGTGGCCCTCATAAGCATCACCTTGGAAGAGGAGGAAGTCTATGCTATGCAACGTTCACTTCACCTTGAGCTGAGGGACCATTACTAGAATTGAGTTGACCTGATGTTTTAAATGTAAAACAGTGATCCCAGTGAGGCCATGGACTTGATAACATAGAAAGTGACAAGCACTTTGCTCCAAGGGTTTTCTTGAACAAATAATGCTAGTATAAGAAATTAAATGTAAGTTTGAATTAAGGGGAAAAAATAGACCAACAAAAGTAGGCATTGCCATAGTAACTTAGAAATTTTATCTTCTTTAGAAGGCTCTCCAGTCACTTTTTACATATGGGGAAAACTAGACTGTAAACTGTAGTGTATCTCTCTCTCTCTCTCTCTCTCACACACACACACACACACAAATTAAGGCAAACATCCAGATGCCTTCATAATGATCTCTTAGAATTAATGATCAATTATACTATCACAAACTAGAAAGTTAAAGCAAACATCCAAATACTTTAATAATTTTTTTTAAAAACCACAAATATATTTCCAGGATATTTTAGGAAAGTTGATTTGGGTGGAAGAGCAGGATTGAAATTTTTGACACTCACATAGCCTCTCTGAATCCTGCTGATAAAGATGTCATCAGCAGAGAAATGCTCACAAAGCACCCTTCACTAGCTATTAGCTTTAGTTCTTAAAAAAAAAGAAATCACCACATAATAGTTCCACTTTGCAATAAGCACATTGAGGACTCAGGAGAAACCCAATACCCACCCTATTCTTAAGGTCTGGCCACAGAAGAACTATTAGGGAATAAGAGCATCCAGGCACCTTTGTCTCCACATTTTAACTGGTAGGCAAGTGATTCTAAAGCTGTATACTATTAGGACAGTAAAATACTCTAGCAATATAGAATCTCACTGATTGTAGAGTACAATTTCCTTTTTACCTCTCTCCTTTCCTACCTCACTCAAAATGTTTATCCCTTTCTCCCTCTACACACACACACACACACACACACACACACACCCCACCCCACAAGGGATGACTCAGGAAGGGTGAGAGATTTGTCGCAGGCCCGGCTATAAGTTAGATCAGAGCTGGAATTAGAACCCAAATCTCAGTAACTGGAGCCAGCCAGCTGCTATTCTAGACCCAGAGCAAATCTAGTTCAGTCTCATGAATTCTGCATACTCCGAATTAGACATCGCTGTTTTGTCTGACGTTTCCTGCCATGGACTCCTAAAGCAACACAATGAAACCACCTTTCCGGATTCTTCAATCGCTGCTAGCTTGAAGCAGAGGACAGTTACTTAAACTCTCTGGGCTCTTTCCTTATCTAAAATCCACAGGTTGAACCAGAGGTCTCCGAGAAAATTTCCCATTCTAAACATTTTGCTTTTCACCTTCTGTTTTATGCTTCAGTCTTGATGTTTGAAATTTTCACTAGGTGGCAGGATTCCACCATCGCATTATGAAAGGATTTTCCAATGGAAGCCTGGGAGCAGAAAATTTCAAAAGAAACTCCTTTCCTCACAGTGAACATTATAAAAAAGAAAAAAAAAAGCCAAGAGAAAGGATAACTACAAAGGCCAGTAGTCCACATATTTCATAAGGATCTAGACCCATCTTTAATATATAAAGCGGAAATTAATCAAACATGTTCTTCCATACAATACTCCAATTTAGTATCCAATTCAGGTAAAAGTCTGCTTAAATTTCATGCATTTTAAAATTTATTTTAGCTGAATCCCAAGTTAGACAATATCAGAGCCCCTCCAGCAAACTGGTAGCAAGAAACAAGCAATATGATGGAAACAAAAGCATCTAAAACATTTAAAATCGTTACTAGATGCATTTCAAAGTTTCCTATAAGTTACATACAATGTATTTCTAGTGTCTTTGAATTTTATTTTGAGCACTTAGCTAGATGAGTACACATGATGGGATGGAGTAAATTTCTGCATTTATTTGTTAAATCCTTAAAAGAATATTCTTTCAAACATGTTTTCTGACATTTTCATCATATATTTAAAAGTATTGCCTCAAATTGGCCTTTTCATAAATGCTGCACTGTAAATGTCACCACCAAGGCTTTATACAAGTCCCCAAAAGCCACACCAATTGGTTATGCTGAGCTGAGCATTTCTCTTCTGCCAAAACCAAGTAAAGTAACATGAAACAATAACTGCATATTCTAACATTTCTAGAAAAAACGTCCCAAGTGTCTTGCTGGTTGTCAGAGAAGCTGATTAACTAGGCTTTTCTTCAGCTGATAAATACGGCACTTTTTTTTCTTTCCATCAATTACTGGTTAATTACATATATGCTATACATTACTCCAGTTTTTTTGCAACATGAACAAACCCGCATCCTAGAAAAATTTAACATCGGCGCCAAAATCAAAGTAATACATAAACTCCTGAATCACAGCTTGGAAAAAAAACCATCAACAGGTTGCTCTCATTCCTTCCCAGCCCAGAGCGGTGATAGCGGCACCTCTTTGGTGGTCCTACCTTAGCAACTTGTAAGGGCTGCTTCTGCTCCTTGCCACCTTGCAATCTGAACCCCCAGGGCGCCCCTCCGGTCATGGAAATGCAGATAAAATCCCCGGTGCCCATTTTCTCCTTTTAGTTGGGTAGCATGAAGAGCTTGAAAAGACAGAGGAGGCTTCGGTGCCGTTGAGATGTGTACTTAGCTCCAGGCGCCCGCCCAGGAGGCAGGATTGGGGAGCGCAGAGCTTCAGCTGCTGCAGCGGCCGCGGGCCGCATTCACAAGGAGGCAGAGGCGCTCCCTGGCATCAAGGACACAGCCCACTTTTGCGTCACGCTCCTTTGCTCAGCCCACTTCAGGCAAAGGAAAGAGACTCGTTCGGAGGAGAAGGTCTTCATTTGGGGCGAGATGGGGGCGGGAAAGCAAAAGTTCTCTAGCACTAACTGATTTAAATGCCAGCACTTAAAAGAATGATTGAGGGGCGCTTGGGTGGCTCAGTCGTTAAGCGTCTGCCTTCCGCTCAGATCATGATCCCGGGGTCCTAGGATCGAGTCCTGTATCGGGCTCCCTGCTCCGCGGAGAGCCTGCTTCTCCCTCTCCCACTACCCCTGCTTGTGTCCCCTCTCTCTGTGTCTCTCTCTGTCAGATAAATAAATAAAATCTTAAAAAAAAAAAGAATGATTGAAAAACTTTCATTTAATAATCCTATGACTAGTAGAGAACACGTGAAGATTTTAATCGTCGGGCCAGAAGTGACATCCTAAAATAATGAGCTCTGAAAATTCAACTACTAGACAATTTGATTCTCTCAAATGAATGTTTTGAGACTGACCACAGTGATGATTGAAACAGACAAAAGGGAGTTCAAGAGGGTGAAATTATTATTACTTTTCTAAGCTTCTACTATCTAATTCCATAAGAAGAGGAAATAAAAGAAAGCAAAACATTTGTCTTTTTTTTTAACCTCCCACTCTGAAAAGTACTTTTTTGAACAATGAGATAGGTGTATATATTTTAGAGTTGAGGAGGGGGAGGAGAGGAAAGAGGAAGAGGAGAAGAAAAGAATTTCCCCCTGGAAACTACATTCTTTTGACTATGTCTCTTGCATGGTCTGGAGTATTTTAAATTTAAATAAGTGTTTCATTTTCTTCCTTCCTCAGCAGGAACGAAACTTCTTGAACCAAAATAGTCAGCCAACTACATACAATGTCACCTACAAGTTTCTTATTTTTATAGTCCCTCATCACAGTGCTCTGAGTCTGGGTGGCCCAAAATAAAAGTTTATTTTATACGTGGTCCAAAATACTTTGTTTTAAATCCGAATACAATCCACCAAAAATTGTACAAATAGAACATTTTTTCTTCCATAATATTTTTATTTTCCATGACATTCATCCAAATAATGAAAAGCTTGGACAAGTTAATTCATGTTACACGTGGTACCAGACAAAACTGACTTGCAGACACTCCGCCTGTTTCAGTACTAGGAAGCACTCTGCAGTGAACCTTCACACAGCTTCACTGCCCAGAAGCCAAACGTGTCGAGTGATTTTGTTTGTGCCTTCTCACTGGGGTGAGATGGTCACTCAGTTACCGGCAGCGCTCAGAGAGAGCCTTTGAAGGGCATGAAGACCAGACATGCATCTCAAGTTTGATTCTCTCCCAAAAGGTGAATTTGCCTGTACCCCCCATCTTTCTTTGAAAAATAAGAATTTTATAAGTAACATCCTAAAGTATGAACTCAGAACAAAAGAAAAAGAACTTCAGGGACGCCGGGGTGGCTCAGTCGGTTAAGCGTCTGCCTTCTGCTCAGGTCATGATCCGGGTTGTCCCGGGATGGAGCCTCACTTCCTGCTCCCTGCTCCGCGGGGAGCCTGCTTCTCCCTCTGCCTCTGCCGCTCCCCCTGCTTGTGCTCTCTCACTGACAAATAAATAAAGAAAATCTTAAAATAAAATAAGAAAAAGAACTTTTTACAATTGTTCTTTCCACTTCTGCCTGTCTTTGTGCTCCTAAACCCAGTCCAGTCTAGCTTTTATCCCCACAACAGGAAAAGCTCTCAGCAAGGTCACTTATTACCTCCCTGCTTTTGTGAGCACTTGAGATTATTGGCCATGTCCTCCTTTGATTGTCTTCTCTCTTAGGCTTCTGTTCTAGGATACAAAACATGCCCTCTCCTCTTGCCTCTCTAGCCACTCTTCTCTCACGTTTGGAAGTCCTCAGCTTCTAGTCATTTTCTGAATGTGTGTGTTGTCTTCCAGGGCTATGTTCTGGTCTATTTACTTTTCTCACTTTACACCCTCTCTATGGGTTTACTTAGTGTCAGGAACTTGACGTATAATGTTTTATTCATCCTCAAAGTAACCATGTTAGGTACTTGATCTTTAGTGTCTCCCTTTTACTGGTGGTAATTAACTCAGCCTTAGATTCTAAGTGGTAGAGATTTGAACTTTTGCCTGCTTGAATTTAATATGCCAGTTCTTATCATTGCTATTCTGTCTCCAGGCCTTATGTACTCCCTAATGCTGTTCTCCTGTGTCCAGTTACTCATTAAGATGTATGGATCCAGGGGCACCAGGGTGGCTCAGTTGGTTAAGCGTCTGCCTTCTGCTCAGGTCATGATCCCAGGGTCCTGGGATCGAGCCCCACGTTGGGCTCCCTGTTCAGGGAGGAGTCTGCTTCTCCCTCTGCCTCACCCCCCTGCTTGTATTCTCTCTCTCTCTCTCAAATAAAAAAATAAAAATCTTAAAAAAAAAAAAGGCATATGGATTCAACTTCTAAATAGATTGCAAATCTGCCTCTTTACTCCATTTCCACTCATGTGATTACTTCTATCTCTGGCCTTGATTTCAACAATCTCCTAACTAGTCTGTCCCAGCTTTGTTTCCACCCTCAATTCATTTTTGACTTTACAGCCAGGATGAAATTTCTAAAACGCAATATTTATCATATTTTTTTTTTTTCCATTTCAAGTCTTCAAGGACTTTCAGAATGGTGAAAACTCCTTTACCTAGAGGATACGTTCCGCCTCCCACTCCTTACTTCTTCTCCAACCTCATCTCCCACCTTGAATTTTATGATTCAACACACGGAACTACTTTTACTTTCTTTAACATGATCTGCTGCTCCATCTGCTAGGTCATGCTTCCAAGCTATCTCGTCCTCCCCACACATAGATCACCTGATAATTCCTACTCATCCTTCTGGTCTCAGCTTACATGTCACATTCTCCAGGGAGCCTTTCCTAACCATCCTGTCCTGCCCCCTTGTCCAGGGCAGGTGTTCCTTCCATGTGCTGCCATCACTCTGCACTTCCTTGCTCATTCAAATGGTCTCTTAAATTGTCTGAATCCAACACTAGCTGATTAACCCTGTGAGATTAGCAGATGTTTCCAATTTACTTGAATTTGTCTCCCCAGGTCTAATACAATTCTTGACCACTAATTGGTGCTCAGTTAATATGAGTAGAATGAAAGGCTAGCTAAGATTTCCCAGAGTAAAGGTATAGAAAAGAAAGCCAAAGAGTTCTAATTTCTTTCCCTTTTCTCACTTCATTTGACTTGGGAAAATCGGAAATAGAGCAAAATTCTTCAATTATACTACTTAAAGACTGTGTGGAATATTTAGTGACAGTCTCCCTAACATTTTGCCTTTCCCCCATTGGGCAGTAACTACCGTGTTGGGTAAAATTGATCCTCTGACCCCAACAGCATGGATAAGGTGGTTGATTTTAGACAGTCAGAGTAATCTTTCCTCCTTAATACGGAGATTAGTTCAGGAATGGATATACAACCTAGGCCCAAGTCAAGGACATTACCCAGCTCCAGTGATTAATTCATATATGGTCCAACCACAGAGAAGCTTAAGACTCTTCCAGATAGCTGTCAGGGACAGTATCGTTCACGGATACTGATAACAGCAGTGGGGAAAGCCAGTGTGAGGGTGAAACCACCACAACGTATATTGGGAGAGGGAGTCTTCCATGGGTCTCTAGTGCTCCTAGATGTCTTTCTGAATGTGTCAGAATTCAAGGTCCTAATGCTTCTTTTCCTGAGCTATTTCTCAGGCTTGTTTTTGTAGCAAGCAACCTTGATGGATGTGGTAATATCTCAATGTGGGACAAAAGTAAGTTTGCTAGCTGATTGCAAGCAAAAAGTAAAATAAAATAAAAGCAATGGATTCACTAGGCCTAGTGTACCTTAGCTGTTATGGAAATCCACTGGGTATGTAGTATCCATCTGGGTAATATCTTATAAACCCTACGGAGTTTGAGGCAAGATAAACTTGGAAATACACTGATATACCTTGTGTATATATGCTGTACCTTGTGTAAGAAAGTTCTTTGTCTCTGACCATAGAATTTCATGTCTTCTTCCAGCATCCATGAAACAGTAGCAGGCTAACTTAATAGCTTGCAAGGAGGGTGAAATCAAGGCCCAGACCCAAAAAAGTGAAACTGAGACACAGGTGGAGAAATGGAACCAGAGCTCTGGTCAAACAGCACGCAGCCTGCTCTTTATTTTATTTGGACCCTAAGAATTAAGGCAAGAGTAAAAATTCACTTTCTTATGGAAAAAAGTGACTTGAGTGGTTTTGAAAATGACCTTCTTTGATGGTAGCTACACTTGTGGTGAGCATAGCATAATATACAGACTTGTCAAATCACTGTGTTGTATACCTGAAACTAATGTAACATTGTACACCTGACATAATGTAACAATGTCAACTACACCTCAATAAGAAAATGATCTTAGACTAATTCTACTTCTATACCATTTAAAGGATTTAACAATGTATCAGATGTTCTGTTTTATAATACCATCCATTCATTCATTCACTTGATTATTCATTCCACAAATAATACCTATATTATCTTTCCCAATTTTGACAGCACAGTAAGATTTCTGAGCCTAACACGAATTAGGAAACCACATTATAAAACAAAAATATTCCTGTAGGAATGACTTACTCTACAATAATTTCACATTGGCCACCTATGCTGGCTCATGCCTCTTTGTTATTTTTCTAATTCAATTTTTTACTAAAAAATATGTGGGGGTGGGAGTGGGAGTGGAGAGTGTAGCCCCACATCACTAACAAGCAATTATCAGGACACCAGCAGGATATCCAAGAATTCAACTCAATTTTGACACTATCTACCTGGAGATAGCATCAGATCCCATCAGTAAGGGCTTAGTCCCACAAGACGTGTCTCCCCCGCCCCAACACACACATATACACCTCAGACCCCAGTCGCAAGTCCACGTTATC